AGTGGAACGGCCGCCGGTTGGCAAGACTCCTCGCCCGCTCGCGGCCGGCATTAGGCCCTGCCCAAAATAATGGCCCGGCCGGAGCGAGTGTCTGAGTACTCAAAGACCTTCACGGTCCGGCAAAGTCCTATAGAAACTTGTCAAAACACAATCAAGGTCGTTAAGACAATGAGCGCGCAGTGTGTTCAGGCCTCCTAATCTTAAAATGAATGGAAGACCGAGAAGCATCATAGGACAGATGGGTACGTGCAGTTGTAAAGCGGTATCGTCTTCCTTAACGCACACTTTTCCGAGCAACGGAAGATGTACAGCAACCACGGTCCGCACAGATGGTCTGAGGTCAAACTGGACTTCGTTTTTGAAATTACAAGCAAGGGGGATATCGTTTTTATACGGTTCTGGAGGAAGCGCCGAAAAAAAAACGACGAACATGTTAGGTTTCACGAGTTGAACGTGTTCTTTCGTAAGCGCGCGAATTTCAAACGCAAGACTCAAACAAACAAATGGCTTGTTTACAGCGCACAAACAATCATATGGCTCCGAATTTGGGCTATGTGTATGCAATATTACTCCAAACTATGTTATGTAAAAAGTTTTCAAAACGTATGTGTCCTGATATCCGTTCCCGAATATGTTGGTTTCTAGACCAACACCAAACCAACTGGGTTGGTTCGGAGCATAAATATCGAAGAGTTCACATAAGTTTTGGCTCTTTTCAATTTGGGCGATTAGAACGGTCAAAAAACTATCATATAGTGAAAAGATCAAATCAAACCATTGCCTCTCCTCTTTTTTTGAGCCAAAAGTAGTGTGAATCTATGCGCTGATAGATACTGCGCTCCAATCATATACAGTATCCTTTGAAATAGTGGCGAAAAATGCATCGACAGATTGTTGAGGCCACGGATAGGGTTGATCTAGAAGGTTTTCAACATTCTGAGCCCTGAAATGGTACCATATCTAATTACAGAACCTTTAGTCAACTCGAAATGTTTTCTTTTTGCTTTTTTTGTCGTATTAGGTGCCTCAAAATGCGCCTTTTCGCTTTTTTATGGTTTTTTGATTGAATAAGGGTTTCCCTACAGATTTTTACGTCAAGCGGGACTTCGTAAATTTTCGCGAAGTCAACTTCGTTTCCAAGAAAACTCCAAACCAACGCGTGCCGCCCTGACAGCAACCTAACGGCTAATTTGGCGATAGAGCGCGATACGATTGGAGCAGGTTTTCTTCTAAATCCTTCAAAAGCATTCAAATTGTGTACAAATGGAGGTCCAGCAAACGGACAAGCGAGTAGATTCAGTTTACCCGCATCCCCAAGAATCCACAAATTTTTTTCACCTTAGAAGGCCTGAGCATAACATCTGCTGCTAAGGACATATAAAGCTGTCTCAAAACTGGCCTAGAGTTGCGAGCCGATACATTCAGTATGACCAAGCTCACGAGGTTTAATATAATTCCAAACAAGGTTTCAATCCAGCCTCGTTTCCGTGCATCATCACCCGTTTCCATATATTAGGCTAGAAACTAAGTTTTGCAACTGGTTTCATAACTTCACTCTCTTTGAATATGGCGCAATCAAACTTTGGCATTATGTAGAAGGCAATGTGAGCTACAAGTGAGCACAAATTTAGATTTTCAACACGAAATGAAAGTTTCATGCGTTTTTCAAAAACTAATGAGATCTGAGTATTTTTGGGGTTTCAAGCTAAAATGAAGGCTTTGGCAGCCTAGATGATGCGCAGTAATCCGGATTCGTCTATAAATCATTGCTGGAGGTTGACCCTTTGGCCTAGTAAGAAAGAAACAAAATTTAGGGGCATATCGAGATTTGGCATCCTCATAAAGTCGAACGAGTCGATATGCGCAAGAGCTGCTGGGGACGACCGTCAATAACTAAAGAGTCCGAAGCTCAAATTCCGCCGAGACTTTACATAGTAAGGTTATTTAACCTGCCAAACGCGAATATCATATTCATTCGTCGAATCAACGCCATTTTCCTTGTTTAGGGTGAGACCCCTATCGTACACCTACAGTAATCTTACAAAAAAGCCCTTATCAGGGAATTCCACTATCGTTTTCGTGATCAGCATGTCGGATAACACTCCTATGCCAAGTTTCAGCCAAATCGGTTAAACTTTGAAATTTTCCCCTTCATACCATGCACCTACCGTAACCCTCACTGCAACGTCAGAATTTGGTAGGACAGCAGCTGCGCTTGTATCGTCGTCTCCCCGCGATAGATGGGGCGTGTCGTCTGCAAAGTCCTTAGATGTGCGTGTTTCGTACGGTGCTAGCCGGCGTGGCTTTGCCAACGTTGCCAACGTATGCGCGTGGCAGTTTTTGGGGCGGCGTGGCGTTATACTACAAAGACCTCGCCGCCATAGTCGGCACGCGCGCCGAGCTGGCTTACTATATCCCGCACCCATTTTCAACCAGTGAGACTGAGCCATGAGGCGATCGCGCGAATGCAGCCTCGTTATCTCTGTCGCGGTGCGTCGTCGCGCGCGAAGTCGCGAATTTCATAAGAAGTTACAAGGAAATACTCAGAAAAAATTCCTCTTTCAGATTTAAACGTGCGATACCGTCCGTAAAGCCGCATAAAGTGAAAATTTCGGGAAAACTTGTTAATTTCCTGTTTTTATTCAATTCATGTTTGTTTATATTTCCAAATAAAAACAAAAGATTCATTTGGAAACTCCCTAGTGTTTTTCAGTTTTTTTTTGTTCCATGTTTGTTTTTGCCATGGTATAGATACTTAATCGTAACTGCAAGCTGTGACCTGTGGCCTAGATTGCAAGTTGAGGTTAATAACATGGCGATGATGACCTGCAGAGTTAACTTATTGGGACGAAAGTACCCTCGATATCAACCCATACGTCTTGCCTCAGCATGACGTGGATTACGTGCCTTGATGAGGCGCCGCCTCGCCTCGGGCTCGCGCCACGTTGCGAGCGCATCATTTGGCGCGACGTGGCGCTCACACAACGTGGCGCAAGCTTTTTCACGTTCTTCTTGTTGCCACATCACGCCGAAGATGCGCACGCAACGTGGCGCAAGCCCGAGGCGAGGCGGACCCTCATCAATCCTCGTAATCCACGTCATGTTGAGGGAAGACATATGGGATGATATCGAGGGTATGTAGCTGATGCCAGATTTTCTTTTCTCGATTTTCGCTTGAAAATGACCATGAATCAAATAGAAAACAGGATTAACAAGTTTTTTTTAAAATTTTCACCTTATGCAGTGCGACGGACAATATCGCACGTTAAAATCTGAAAGAAAAATTTTTTCTGAGTATTTTCATGTAACATCTCGTAAAATTTCGCGACATCGCGGCGCGACGTCGCGCGACAAAGCTGACGAGGCTGCGTCCGCACGATTGCCTCATGGCTCAGGCTCACCGGTGCAAAATGGGTGCGGGATACAGTAAGCCAGCTCGGAGCGCGTGCCGACTATGGCGGCGAGGTCTTTGTAGTATACGAACGTCCTCCGTTTTTGGCAGTTAGAGAGTACGAAAACTAATGTTATTGATGAAGATCTAACAAGTATTTGACGTGGCATGTATATACACGCCACGCCATGGCTAATACCGTACGAAATACGCACGCCTACGGACTTTGCAGACGACACGCCCCATCTATCGCGGGGAGACGACGATAGCTTGCGTAATAACCAACGCAGTGGCAGAATTTGAGTGCGCCATATTGAGTGACAGGGAAGTTATGAGACCAGTTGCAAAACTTAGTTTCCAACCTAATAAAATAGGAGGCGCGAGAGCAGTGGGCACGACCCAAAACCATTTCTGCTAGTCTCACCGTCCAGATACATCGACTATAGAGAAAACATGGGAGAAAATGCAACATATAAGAAAACCGTGCGTTATATGATGAGTGCTTGTTGTGCAGAACAGCCGGATGACTGCAACCAACCAAAATCTTTTTGCCATGTGTTGCAGTTATTCCAATTTGTTCCAGTTTCAAAAACAGATGTGGCGGTTTGACTACAACATACCGATTGCGCAAAATCACTCTGCTAGCATATTCATGAGCACGGTTTTTTACACACTATTTCCTTCATTTCGTCGTTTGTCACTCGATAATGTTCCCATTGTAAACGGAAATCTTTATCGACTACGAAGGTTATAGTTGTAGCTTTGTTTCGTCTTCACGTTCTCAACAATTACCAGATTTTTAAGCTTTTAGAGTTGTTAATAGGTTCCTTTCTGAGAGATACAATCTCTCATAAAGTTGTGACAAGGCCTTTACTTACTGTGTTTAAAGAAATATAAAGTTCATAGGATATGTTACATGTGACTATCAGGGCCCGGCACGCGTTGGTTCGAGGTCAAACTGGACTTCGTTTTTGAGGGTGAAAGCAAAGGAGACTTCGTTTTTATGAGGTTCTGGAGGAAGCGCCAAAAAAACACGACGAACATGTCAGGTTTTACGGGTTGAACGTGTTCTTTCGCAAGCGCGCGAATTTCAAATGCAAGACTCAAACAAACAAATGGCTTGCTTACAGCGCACAAACAATCACATGGCTCCGAATTTGGGCTATGTGTATACAATATTACTCCAAACTATGTTATGCAAAAAGTTCCAAAAACTTATGTGTCTGAATACCCGTTTCGGATTTGTTGGTTTCAAAACCAACCACCGAACCAACTGGGTTGGTTCGGAGCATAAATTTCGGAGAGTTCACATAAGTTTTGGACCTTTTTGGTTTGGACGATTAAAGCGCTCAAAAATCTATTATATGGTGAAGAGAGCAAATCAAACCATGGCCTCTGCTCTTTTTACGAGCCAAATATAATATGAAAATAGAGGCTTAGATAGATATTATGCTCCAATCAGATGTGTGTACCGGCGCCCTTTGAAGTGGCGCCAATTGCATCATTTCATTTTTTTTGTCTCGTCATGTGCTCCTCTTCGTTTTCTTCTCTTTCCGTCTTTTTGTGTCTTTTTCTGTCTTCTTCTTTGTTTTTAATATTCTTTCGTTTCAGAAAGTATTCGCAATGGAGGCGAAAGAAGTCAACAACAAGAAAGACGGATGGTACGACAAGAGCCAGACAAGGTGGGTTTGAATATTGATTTGATTTTTCATTGTTTGATTTGTTAGCTTAACTCGCTATTCCACATTAGGCCTCGGGCAGAATTTACGCGATTTGGTCGTCGCGATTGAACGCGACATGTAAACTTTGACATTATCATTGCATGCCGATCTTCTTGCATTTCGGTTGTGATAGTTTTCCAACACGACTAATTGTGACTTACTATCACAACCGAGATACAAGAAGATCGGCGTGCAATGAACTCGTAACACTTGTCTTTAGCGATTGAATCGCGACTACCAAATCGCGTGAAGTCAAGGCTAGTCGAGGTGGCTGAATCAGACTATTTCTGATTTCGCAGTATGGATGTGTGCATCACAACTAGGCTGTGCAACTCTTTTTATGTGGTGTACAAGTGTTTTGTCGATTATGAAATATCATTGATTCAATAGTTTTGGCATTCTTGTTGTTCACAAAACGTTGCCCATAAAACTTGCGCGTAAAAATCACTATAGGCGGGCTCTGGCGAGGTGCCTTTCCGAAAATGCAAAGAAAAAAGGTCAGAAATAGTGAGACTGAAAATTGCTTACGAGAAGACATGAAACTAAAAGACGTAAGTTTGAGCAAGAACGGTTGATGAACATAGGACTCAATCATTGTGATGGTCAAACAGCCGATGCACTGTACGAAAACTTTGATGAAAGATCCAAAATTCCTCACTCGCCATGTGTTTCTTATTATTTTTCACGCACCTAATGCTAGTAACGAAGTAACTGATCTATTTCGGAACTTACCGTGCACAAAGAAGTTGTTGAAGCTGGGTTTGCACTTTCTTGTTGTTTCAATCTTGTTTAGTAGCGTGCAAGTGCAGTATTTTCGAAACACGCGGAAATATTGCACAGTTTCGAAGTTTTCCAGAAGTTTCGAAAATACTGCCCACCCGTGCGAAACATCCATCTTACTGCTTTGCTTTCTTGCCCATTAGGTTGGTTCAAGAATTGTAACGGATGAAGAAGGCGATTTTGAGCAGAAATTACGTAGTAACGAAACTAATGGCAAATTTTCAGTATTCTAGTGGTATTTTTTGACTTTTTTTTAGTAATTTTTATGTCTGGTTTTGTGTGGACTCCACTTCTACAATTTTCGAAGTTTCCCATTCTTTGTAATAACGTTGACACTTTGCGAATAAAGGATTTACGTATACACAGTTGATTCTTTCATATGATCATGTGTGCCATTGCACACACCGTCCATTTTTGGCGTTACCATCCTGGATTCTTGGTCATTTGGGCAATTGGTCACTCTCTCGCGTTTTTGCGATCAGAATTCCAGGATGAGGACGCCAAAGATGGACGGTGTGTGCGGGTGCACACATGATCATATGAAATCAATCGACTGTAATTGGCTAAAAGATTCTCATGGGAGCATGTGCACATTTTCCTCTAATTGATTAAAGACTGAAGAAAATTATCATCAGTTTCTAAGTCGATGTGCTAAAATAGAAATTTGATGTCGTTGCTCATTGTATTTGCGTTTAATTGTTCTGCAATCAGAAGCACATCTGTACCTTTGCTTAGCGAAGATATTTGTTAGCACGTTTTCTGCTAAGTTGCTCAAAAAAGTTCATTAACGTAATTGGTCGGTGCAGTTTCATTCCAACGGTCTGATACAAAACGTGGCGAAAATCGCATTATGTTTGATTTGCGTTCATGATGGCCGTTGGGCTGGAATTTGCCACCCCTCTCCACTACTGGCGAATTGCCAAATCGCGTCGGAATAAAATCGCATGAAGTATGCCCGGCCTTTTAGTTTACTCATAAAATGAAAATCGTGAATTTCGCTAAACCTTCAACTTCTTTTTAGATCTCTTGTGGGCTTCAAATGTATTGTCGTCCTCCTGTTTCTCTCTGCGATTACGCCCGCATATGGCCAGTATTTGTCGGACAAGGGGGTGTACCAGCAACAGCCTATGGTGAGAACTTTAAAGTTTGAGTTTCAAACAAATATTTTATCCTGCTTTTAGCTTGTGCAACCGATAAGATGTGATTGCCGACATTCGGCCTCGCAGACGCTTTTGCACACGCCAGGAACTTCCTTCTTCTTCTCATTTCATTTTTCTATCAATACCGCTCTGTGAGTTTGAAATTCTTTCTAAATTTCTATAAACAAAAATCTTATTCAGGCTAAACAGAACCGTGATGGCAACAACAACAACGCCCGCCAGGACCCAATTGCGCCCCCGCAGAATGCACTGATTTATCACCAGCTTCCTGCACTGATGCCCAACAATACGAACCCCTTCGTGCCTTAGGCCACGAAGGGGTGCCCCCCCCCCCCAAAACCAATGACGCGACTTTTTTTGACGTGCATCTCTTGCTATCTCTGCTAAAATGATTTCGCTTGATACTTCCCAGTTCAATCACTGAAAGTTCTAACATTCCCACAAGGTCTGCGAAATTTACTTAGTCACAGTTTCTGCTCTTATTTTTGGCCTAGAAAACCTAAACGTTACGAAGTCGAGTACTAGATCTAGGATACGCTTTGCTCAGGACGCACAAGGTCTACAAAACTTACTTCATCATAGTTTTGCTCTTACTTTTGGCCTACAAACCTAAATTCGTCACGAAATCGAGTATTAAATCTAGGATGCGCTTTGCTCACTACTGAAATCCACTTCGCCTTCAAATGAAGTCGTTGTTATTGGTAAGATCTCCTTTTGATCTCGTGGGAACTAACTCACTCTGATTGCTCACTTTTTCTGAAAAGCCTTTCGTACTTCTTTTTGCCTTTATTGTGTTCTTTTTTTTTCAAAATCGGTAAATGCCTTTCTTTATGTTCGTAGTTGCATAAATAAAGTTTTTTTTTTCTTGGAACAAGTTTTATTGACTTTTAAAGGCTTGGCAATTCCGGTGTGCTAATTTTGGGGTCAAAGGGGACTTCGTAAAAATTTTCGGAGTCATGGGGGACTTCGTTTTCAAAAATCCTCCAAACCAACGCGTGCCGGGCCCTGGTGACTATCAAGTAAAAATGCATGCTGGTGATCGTTACACAGCGACCTGCGACTTCCACTAATCTAAACCCCAAGGTGTTTTCTGACTCACCTCATATGTGGCACTTCTATGTATACCTATCGTATTCCCCTGTCATGTCCAGTTATGCTTTGAGATTACACTTATGCAAATTGTATGGGAAGTGCGCTATATTTTTCACACTTGGATTCCTTCACAAACCTACTGGTCTTTTCAGTCACACCTCTGATTTTATCAGAGGTGTGGAAAAGATTGTACAGCTATGTGAGACTGCTAAAAGCAATCACTTTATGCTGCACATTCATTTTCCACACTGACGTTGTTGCAAGGCAAACAATAGCAAAGTTGGTCTTACCGAGAAGCACCAGCTTAAATGCCATTAGAAGTGGCATCGCTTTTAAATGCTCGCTTACAATTATGAGAGAGTTGAAAAAGTTCAATCGGTATATTGTAGCCAAACCGCCTCATCTACAATGCGTTTGACGGGGCCAGCGCCGCGTAGTGTAGTCACACACCTGCGCGCGAACGCTACCGTGGGCTGCAGCGTGCACGGACCATGCTGCACAAAACAGCGAGGTCCTTGTTTTAGCTACTCTTCTAGCTTCTTTCTTAGCCTTTTCGCTGTCCTGCTTCCAAATTTCTGAGCTTTTCCTGTCTAAGGCCCGTATGCAAGTACGTCCCCGCTGGGGAGGGGAGGGGAGCTGGATCCCCAGGGGAACGATCCCCTCCGCCGAACCCCGCCATGGCAGAGGGGAGGGGAGCGATCCCCTCCCCTGCACCTAAGCGGGGATGGTGTGAATGGTTTCAGAGGTATTGATCGAGCGAACCCCAGTGCATACGGGGTTCGAATGGGGGAGGGGATCCCTTCCCTTCCCCCACTCGAACCCCGTATGCGCGAATTCAACTCATTAACGCGGGGGAGGGGATCGACATCCCCTGCAACGAAGTAGGGGTTCGATGGTGTAGATCATGCCAGAGACGCGGATATTCTGGTTTTGCTCAGTCATTACCAAGCATTTCGTTCATTTTGATGGAGGATTTTTTTTGAAAGCCGGGTTCTTCTCTCAGCGACCTGTGGCTTGCAATTTGTCTTTCTTTTCTATATTCGCCTCTTGAGAAAAAATCCGAGCAATGATAGCTGCCAATTTCGATTATTTGTAGGAGTTCTTGATCATTCAGAAAATTTGCGCATTTTTCATATAACATAATAGTTTTAACCATATAGGCTGAGTAAACACATTGTAACTTTCATATTTCATGACATGTTGCCATTATCTTGTTATTTTAACATGAGCTGCCTTGAAAAATCTAGAAACTAGCATATTTGCCTATTTCTGAGTAGAAATCCCCTGGGGAGTGATCCCCTCCCCAGCGTTCCCCTTGTGCATAGCAGGGATCGCTGCTGGGGATCAATCCCCTGGGATAAAGCACGATATGCAGCTGATAGCTACAGCGTTTATGGAGAGCTGGCACAATTTGCAGCTTCTGTTATGTGTTAGAATACTGCTTTGAGCGTACGCGCGGCACCCCCCCCCTTTTCGGCAGCATAACGTCTTCTACCCATTCCCTTGCAGAGACACATCAACTTCTATAGTTCAACATTTTTATGCTGAAATGAGGCATGAGCGAAAGTGGGCAGCATCCAAGAAAGCAGGAACATAATGGGAGTAGAAAAAATCATTTTTAGTGCCCCGAGCGCAGTCACTGCATACGCGCATTCCGCAACCCTAAATTATTGAAAGTGAGGAGATGAAGATGAGTTGCAGTCAAAATATGAAATGAAAAAGAGTTTTCCATAGAAAATTTGAAAGCAAGGTGATTTCCCCGCTTGATCCCCTCTTGTGCATAAGGGGGTTCACTTCCCTTCCCCACAGGGGATCCCTTGTCCGATATTGTCTTTGTGCATACGGGGGTTCGCGCGGGGAGGGGAGGGGATCCCCAGCGGGGATCATTTCAATGGTTAAGCGCACATCCCCTCCCCGCGGGGATGTACGTGCATACGGGCCTAAAACTCCTACTTCGGTGCTCTTCCTAAAATCTCTCAAAGTATCGCTGCGCGAATTGGAAGAGAAAATTGAGGTTTGAGGTCTTAAAGAAGATTTAATCTAGATCATTTCATTTGAGAATTGTTAAGAGAACGGTTAGTGCTCTTCCTCTTTAGAGCTAAGGTGAATGTGAGGTGTAATCGTATATCGTATATAGGTTGAGAGAACAGTTTGAGTGAACAGCGCCGACGCACTGTTCACGCAATCCCAGACGATATTATGTCCGCTGAAACAGAGTCGATGTAATGAATCATGACATCCACAATCAGCCATCCGAAAGAGGCCTGGATGAAATGAAAGATGTAGTGAGGGAAAAGCACAAAGATTTGACACCTCCTTCCTTTGCTGCGAAAAAAAAACATATCCGGTACCAAGACAGATCGCATTGAGCACAGAAGCGAGAAAAATGGCAATCCGCTGCTACAAATATGGAAAAAATACGAGAGGATGATAACAACAAGACCCGCGATGTTGTGCGCAGCATGGTCCCTGCACTCTGCGTACGGTAACGCTCGCGCATAGATGTGTGATTGCACTACGCGGCGCTGGCCTCGTTAAACCCATTGTATGTATATTGAAACTGGAACAAATTGGAACAACTGCAACACTTGGCAAAAAGAAACTTTTGGTTGGTTGCAGTCACCCGGCTGTTCTGCATAACAAGCATTCATCATATAACGCACAGTTTTCTTATATGTTGCTTTTTCTTACATGTTTTTCCCTAAAGTCGATGTGTCGAGACGCAGACTAATTAGATGGTCCGACATTCCCCACGCCAACTGGGCGGTGCCCCAGCAACTCCAGATGAGCTGTGCCTAACCGGGTGACCGGCGGTTATCCTTCCCCTTTCCTTATCATATAAATATATAATAAAGATTCTAGTTATAATGTTATGTTCATATGAAGTAAGACAATCAGGGTGAAGGATTCAAGTCAGAAGAGTGCACCTCCTGGACTTGACATGGAGGTCCCGGGTTGTTTTCTTTTTGTGACTTACTTTTTCTGACTAAATCATTTTTAGATTTTTTCTGCTAAACCATTCATTTTTTGGAACAAATGAAGCATGGATTTTGGCCAAAACTTTGCATACTCCCACCGCCGGCACCAGCCCTCATCTCCTACGTTTCTCCGTAGTTTTTTTGGAAAATCATCCTTTTTTAAAATCATTTTTTGAGTCAGGCGATGAGTCTGGGTTTTGTATTACTTGCTATTCTTAGCATAAAATAATATTTTCTATTTTATTTTCTACCTAACGATATTTTACTTTTTTCTTTTCCTTAATTCAGCGAGCCGTGATCCCCCGAGCCGTGAATAGCGAACCGTGAATTCTCGACGCTCTCTCTCTAGATCGATTTAACTCTCTAGATTGAGATTCCGCGAGTCGTGAATTCCGCGAGCCGTGATTTCCTAGAGCCGTGATATCCCGGAGCCGTGATTTCGCGAGGCGTGAACAATTGTTTTTTTTTCTTTTTTCATCCAATCGATTTTTATCCGTCTTTATTCCATTGGGAACCCCATATTTTCTTTACCAACGCGTAACAATCTCAGTGACTCTATAGCCACCGCCGGCACTGTATATATGTACATATAAGGTTATGCAAGTAGAAAAAGCACTGTGAGCCTAATTTTTTCCATAACTCTCACTAGTGGAAAGAGCACTGTGAGATCACTTTTGACCTTCATAATTCTCTCTAGTGGAAAGACCACTGTGAATGTATTTTTTTTCCCCGCTCACTAGTGGAAAGACCACTGTGAGCCCATTTTTTTCAATTTCTCACTAGTGGAAAGACCACTGTGTGCCTTGCCAAATTCAAAATTAAGTTCTCACTAGTAGAAAAACTACTGTGAGTCCAATTTTGCTTAGGAAGAGTTTCATAATTATTTATTATGATTGCCTGAGGAAAACCGACGGGCTATCTGATAGCTCGCGGTTACTGCCAAAGGCTACACTCTCAGCCCCTTAATTTCAATGGCTAATCACTCAAGAACGAGTGACATTTAGCTGCCAGAGGTAGGCACATGCAGCGGCAGTGACCTCTGAACCTCGTATCCCATCGACGAATGTCTGGGCCAGAGGTATGCGGCAATTGTTTGATGCTGATTAGCCACTATGGACTCTGGCTGGATCAGCGTTTTTATGGAAGCGAGTACGACTGGAAAGAGGTATCCGTAAGGACTCCTCGAAATGATATTCTCTAGGGAAGGACCAACAGAACTCATGCAAAACTTTCCTACAACTCTACTCGCACATTTATAAAAGGTATGCTTTTCTAGTCCTTGTCTGTGTTTTTCTGGTTTACCCTTGCACGCTTATTTGAAAAAAATTTTCAAAAAAAAACCAACATAGGTCACCCATGTTTG